CTTCTCTTAGCAATAAGATCACCAGAATATTCTACAATACCTCCCTTGGTTAGAGCTGGGACTTAATGCCTTCTTTCCTAAAACATGGAAACAGTACAGTTGGGTCAACCCAGAGCCTTCATGGTTGGGGAGGGAGTCTGGATTTGACTTGCTTTAGGATCCAACCCTTGTTGAAAATCTACAGGTTTCTCTGCTTTCAGTCTGGTGCTGGATTATGCCTTGGTGGTAGCGGAGCTCTGGAGTATTAAATAGTCCCCAAAAGCCAGGTGAGGTGTACAATAGACTAAACCAGAAATAACCAAAAGAACAAAAGCAGGACCGCAAGTCGCTAGCACCGCGGGATGAACCTGGAATGCCCAAGTCGGTGGCTCCCCGCTGAGCTCCTCCATCCTTGGGTGGAAAGGTTGGTTGATTTACCCACGTTATGCGCCTGGATAAAGATGTAGAAAACACTGAATTTTTAATTTTATGGCACACAGAACGGGAAATACTGGACTTGTTTGACGTACAGAAAATCCGATCGTTTCTGGTTTTCCTTCCAGTGAGTCCATACTGCAGGGCTGGAAACGTCTTGATGGACCCAGCAACAGACTGTAAGCAGGGAGATGCAGAGGGCCAGAAAAGGGCAATGGAAGGGAACTGAGAAATGGTCGTAGGGGAAGGGCTATGCCCGGCTTGTCATTTCCATCTCGGTGATGCTCCATGCTTTGGGCATCTGGGAGGACAAGCCCCCAACTCCCTATTGTAGAACTCATTGTAGAAGTTCATTTTAATGATGACTGAAGGAGCCCCATGCTAGCTGGAACTGAAATTTACTGACCCCGGAAACAAGGAAAGCCAGCGACGCGAATCTAGAGTGTGGGAGAAAAGGTGCATTGCAATCTCAGGGTAGTTCTGAGCTTGAAGGGAGATTGATTGCAAAGCTTCATAGGTTCTCACACTCGGTGACATTTATAGGAGATAAATTCACCCAGGAACAAGTTGGGGAGGGCTGGGAAGCCTGTCGTTAAGAGGGTAATATAGCCCACCTGCTGGGTTCCCGTCATCACCAGTCTTGTCACCTGAAATGCCAGTCCAGCAATAATCTCAGAAACTCTCCAGGATGATAAAAGGAAATGTTATAAGGTCAGGACTATCTGGGAAAAGTGCTGATGATGCCCGGAAAACGCGGATGGCTAAAACTACCAATGCTTCACGTGGATGAACGCAGCGACATCTTGTGGTACTAGTTGTTACTTGTCCTTAAATGTCATGCACTCAAAACACACACACACACACACACACACAGATAAAGCAATCAAAATAATGTTCTTTATTAAATCTCCATTCTTAGGTGGCCATCTATGATCCTGTGTGAACAAATGGAAAGTGAAATTAAAGCACTTCAGCTATCTACCTAAATAAGACAGTTGTTTCTAGGAAAAGGTCATGGGTAGTTCTGTGTGTGTGTGTGTGTGTGTGTGAGAGAGAGAGAGAGAGAGAGAGAGAGAGCGTGTGTGCACACACGCGCGCTCGCACACACACATACACACACACACCAGTACTGGGGCTTGACCTCAGGACAACTCAAGGCTGAAGACATACCACTTAAGCGACAACTCCACTTCCAGCTTTTTGCTGGTTAATTGGAGGTAAGTCTCATGGATAATTCTGTCTGGAATGACTTCAGATAACAATCCTAAAATCATGCCCTCCCCAATAGTTAAGATTACTGGTGTGAGCTACCAGCACACAGCCCTGGGTAACTTTTGAGCTGCAAACTGCTCAAGCTGGGGTTTTTAGTTGTTTCTTTTTCATTGTGTACCATTTTTATTTGAGAGAAAAAAATAGCAATCAAAAGTATGACACATCTGTGTTTGGCTATTTGAAGACATTTTCTCAAAAACCAAAGACTGAGACTTCAAATAAAATACTTCAGAAAATTTCCAGTGGGGTGGAAATATTGTTTTCAAGTGAAAAATTAGCATTTGGAAAATTTAATGAGTTTCCAGCTTCACAATCATTAGACAACTGATGATCCTGCGTGGTATTAATGAACGTTCTGTTTATTTGATACTATATACTGAAATGTTTCAACACCCTGAAGAACTAAGTATCAGTGGAACAATATTACCAAAATGTCACAAAATCACACCTGGGTAAAAGCCTTGAACACTACTATAATCCAACCTTTAAAGACTAACACCTATCACGTTTTGTTGTAAAATTAAAGAATGTACTCAATCACTCAAAAAAGTAAATAATTTTAATATCATATATATGTGGATGTTTTGCTTAAACCAAAACCTATCTATCTCAACAATTTGAATGTGGAAACAGGCATAAAAATCTGTCTTACAGAAAGTTAATCATTCAATATAATTAAAAATATATAGTACCAGATGTTGGTGGCTCACACCTGTAAATCCTAATTAGTCAGGAGGCTGAGACCTGAAGATTGTGATTCCAAGCCAGCCCAGGCAGGAAAGTTCATGAGACACTTATTTATAGTTAACCACAAGAAAAGCCAAAAGTGGAGCTGTGGCACAAGTGGTAGAGCTCCAGCCTTGAGTGAAAATGGAAAGGGACAATAGCCAGGCCCTGTGTTCAAGTCCAGTACTGGTACAAACTTTGTATATTTGTGTTTTTTTTTGTTTTTTGGTTTTTTTTTAGATGTAAACCCACCCCTAAGTTTTATTTTTTTAATTTAATTTTATTTGTGAACATACTGTACAGAGGGGTTACAATTACATGGGCAGGATAATGCGTACATTTCTTACAAACATTGCACCCTCCTCCTTTGTTTACCCTTCACATCCCTTCCCAGGCTCCCCCCTCCCCCCCAACCAATCCTCCCGCACCGACATTGTAAAGCTCATTTTGGACATGACAACTTGTACTTCTCATTGTTGCAACAGGTCCACCTGTATCCTTAAACAACTGGTTTTTCCCCATCTCCTCCACAAGTTATACTGACATCAAATATAGTGCAAATATAGTGAAAGCAGGGGTTATACTGTGGGGGAGGGACATACAAAAACTTTGTATATTTGTGCGTGTGTGTGTGTGTGTGTGTGTGTGTGCATACGATCATAAGACCTATGAGAGACACAGACCTTATTGGAGTTACAAGAGAGCCAATTCTTAAAATGTGTTTTTCTAGGGATTGAACACAGGGGCTTGGACATGGTAGTCAAGTGCTGTATAGTGCACTGACAACATCCTCAGCTTAGCATTAACACATCTTTAATGTCTCTGCTTTCATGAGCATAATTAATTCTCCACTGAAATACCAAATAAAAATACCAACAGCTGGGAGCCAGTGGCTTAATGCCTGTAATCCTAGCTACACAGGAGACTGAGATCTAAGGATCAGTTTGAAGCCAGCCCAGGTGAGACGATCTCCAATCAACTACCCCCCCCCCAAAAAAAAAGATGGAAGAGGAACTGCAGCTTAAAGTGGTAAGAGCACTAGCCTTCAGCACAAGAGTTCCAGGACAGAGCTCAGGTTCTGAGTTCAAGCCCCAGGACTGACACCAAAAATAAAAGCCCACAACAAATGCAGTCATTATATTTTATATGTACCTTGTAAAAGATTAACTATGCAACTTGTGAATAGAGACAGAAGGAGGGTAATCAGAGAAAGAGAAAGGCTGGCATTGTCTAAGAAGCACTGTAGTCATTACCTGGCTTATGGAATTGTAACCCCTTGGCACAACTCCTTAATAATTTTTTAAAGCCCATAGATTTTTTCATAGTACACAGAATTTCCCACGTAGTCCAATGATTTGTAGGACCCCAGTAGAACCCCAGGACCAGTATCACCTTCACTGAGGAACTCCTTAAAGATGTAGGGTCCACACAACCCAAACCTACTGAATAAGAAACAAGGAATCTTAACCCTTTAGTCTTAAAACTAGTCTTAGACCCAAGCAAGTAAGTCCATGAGACTCTTCTCTCCAATAAACTACTCAAGCCTCAGTACCAGAAGAAAAAATATCTTACTCTTCACACTTTGAAGCAGAGGTTTGAACTTGGGGCCTGGTGCTTGCTTAACAAGTGCTTTAACTACATAAGCCATGTACTCAGTTTTTGCTTTTCAGCTAGGGTCCCATATTTTTCAGTTGTGGGGCTTGAACTCCTGACATGAGCGCTGTTCCTGGGCCTCTTTGTGCTCAAGGTTAGTGCTCTACCACTTGATCCATAGCTAGTTTTTGAGTGGATAACTGGAGATGTGTCACAGGGGACTTTTCCACCCAGGCTGGCTTTAAGCCACAATCCTCAGATCTCAGCCTCATGAGTAGCTAGAATTACAGGCCTGAGCCACAGGCACCCAACCTCTCACATTTACTTTGCCCAGGGACAACCTCATATTACAATCTTACATACAGCCCATGTAGCTTGATACTTTATAGTATGAACCAACACACTCAAGCTTGTCCTTGAAGTGTGTCTTACTAATGTTTTTCCCTATCTCTGCCTCCATGTTGCTGAGATTACAGGCATGATACACTGGTCTTGGCCCAATGGCTAATATCGAATTCTTTCTCATCTCAATGTTGGTAATATTATTTTAAAATAGGAAAAGCAGCATTAGGGCTGCAGAATTTAATAAGCCATACCATTGTATGAATGTCAGAGGACTTGCAATTATCATTTCCTCTTCTTTTCATCTAGCCAACTGTCACAAGTCCCTCTCTCCTCACAGTGGACGCCACTTAAAATCCTAGAACCTGTCTTCTAGCAAAGCACATACATACTAACTGGGGAAAAATATGAGTGTTTGCATTTGTGTGTGCTAGTGCAACCATTTTTATATCACCTCCTTTGACTCCAACTCAACAAATAAGGAGATGGGCTGGGAAGGTGGCTCAGTGATAGAGCTCTTGCCTTGCATGTATGAGGCCCTGGGTTTGATTCCTCATCACCACATAAGCAAAAAGAAAAAGGCTGGAAGTGGTGCTGTGGCTCAAGTGGTAGAGCGCTAGCCTTGAGCTGAAGAGCTGAGGGACAGCGCCCAGGCCCAGAGTTCAGACCCCACAACTGGACCAAAATAAATAAATAAATAAGGAGAATTGAAGCCAAGTATAGAATTTACTAGAAACTGCAACTTAAGATTCTTCCTGAATTTTGAACATGTCAGATATGCACATAAACAGATGTTTTATGAGCTACTGAATTTCAGAACCCCAAACATACTCAGTTCAAGCTACTGCTCCTTTCTATACTAGTTATATAACACACTAAAAGGATCTGATGTCCAAAGAAAATCCTAGACAACATTTCAGGTCTTCAGTCCTCTGCTTCAGTATGACAAACTGAAATTGTAGAGATGGTCCAATGATTACCACATCATGGGGCCTAAGCATCACATGAATATCTGCTTTATTCTAATGCAGGTATAGGGAAATTGCTATTTTTTGACAGTACAACAGAGACAAAAAAAATGGAGCTTTTCAGAACAAATGTTTATTTAAGGATTAAAGGAAAACAAAAACATTAAAGCATAAGGAGTACAACTGAATACAATTTACCTCATTTGGTCTGAATCTTGAAAAAGTTACTCTAACTACTTACCTGAGGTAGATTTAGGTTGGCACTGCTTCAAGGGAACCTCCATCCATCCCAGAAGTTACCGTCTAGCTTTAGTTACAGGCTCCCAAGTGGTCCTCTCCAACCTCAGGTTATGCTATATGAGTAATACCAATACCTTTCCTTCCATGGTTAAAAAGCACTCAGACCTGTTTCATATCCCCAAAGTTCTCCACTTGAGGGATGATCCATTGTTAATTTACAGACTAGAGACAATTATCAGTAAAATTAGTTGAAAGAAGGGGCAAATCATTGCCCTGCTAATGATAGCAACTGTCCCCTTATTTAAAGTCTCTCTAGTGATTAATACACAGCCATAAAGCTAATCTTCATTACCATTATGCCACACACCCAATATTCTTTTTAAGTATAACAACTGTCATAATTTATATGAATGATAAAGCATGATTTTTCACTAAAGAAAAAATACAACTTGTATTTATAACAATGGGCAATTTTTTCATGGTATAAACTAGTTATAAAAAGTACTGAAACATGTCATATCAAATTAACTTACAGTACCTGTGTTCTAAAAGAAATCCTAGAATCAGATTATTTACTATTATTATAAGCTATATCCACTGACCCTAAGATTATTATGATCATGACTTCATTAGGATCAAAGCTCACAGCCAGATATAAGGTAGCAGCAGCCAACTCCATGAATCCAAATACCAATAATTCTTCTCTGGAGTTCAGGTATATGTTGGATAAATCAAAGCCATCAGAGTCTGACTAGCAACAAAATATATATTCACATCTACAGAGTCTCATATGCTAAAGGAACCTGAAATGTATTTTAAAATGTCCTTTAATCTGAGGGAAGAAAAAAAAACAGAAGTAACCATTTATACACGCAGATTACAAAATTTCTAGAGAATGTTCAAAACCATAATTACACTGTTAAATTGGAGTCATATGCTTATCCTTACAACTCCAGGGAATCTGCTTTTTTCCCTTCTAGCACTTAGAATCCTTATTCCAAGCCAAATATATACCTTATTATTGTGTTGACTGCAATCCTTCCCCTGGGATTAAAGGGTATTGTTCTCTTTTCTTGGCAGAACTGAAATAAATGAAAAATGTGTCATTATGTGGCTTAATTTGCTATAAATATTAGCAGGAGAATGGAATGAAAAGGACCCCATCTTTGGAGTCAAGATGCTCAAAGTCTTACTCTGATACGAATAATGTATTATGCATCTTTTCTCTGTGCTAATAGTTAAATTTCCTTTATTTCATAGGAGACAACTGAGGGTACTAATCATTGAAAGAGATGATAAATCAAGTCATAAAAGTCTGCATATGAACACTATAACCTTTATCCTGGAATTTGTATTTTGAGTTGCAAAGAAATAAATCTCTCTAGTTTGATATCTCAAGTATCAATAATAACTTGGAAGACATCTTAGGGAAAAGAAAATATTTGGGAGTAGGCCTCAACCTATACTACATAAAAAAAAAAAAACTGAGTATTCTGCTGTTTTATGAGACTGATTCTAAAAGGGGAAACCATTGGAATAGTTCTGACCTATGATAACTACTCCTAGGTTTTCATTCATTCTTTTCACAGCCTGCAAGAGTCCCATGTTATTAATCAATACACTATTCCTACTGTAGCCAAGAATAAAAAGGAAATAACCAAGAAGCAAAATCTATAGTCCTTTTCCCCAACAGTAACACATGCCATATCTTATATCACAAGATTCCAGTCCCTTCCTTTACTGGATGATTGAATTTTAAAAAGTGAAAGTAAAGCAATCATTAAGTGGTTCAGATAAAAGAAAAGCATCTTTACCTGAGTAACCCATCAGGTCTACTTTGACCTGCCTTAACTCCTTCCAGAACAAGCGTCTGGGTATAAGAAAAATTATTTCCATACTGACTGTATTTCAAGTTATCTGTATCACATGGTTCAACTATGAGAACAGTTCTCATACAAATATGTACATAATTTCTCACCCACAATTAGATCTCACTGGAGCAAATTTTTCCAGAGAACAGGTTCTTTGGGGGCTCAATTAAGTAAGACAGGAGTTTCTAGCAAAGCTTTTTTCAGACTCAAAGTGTATATGGATTTTCCCCCCACTTATTAGAGTTCCCTGATGTACCACCACAAGAGCTGATCATTGACAAGCTTTTCTCTTTCAGATACTTCTAAGGTCTTCAGATATTTTTTCTTTTGGTACAAACAAGTAAGGCTTTCCAACAATGTTTTTGTCACACTCAAGACAAATATATAATTTTTCACCATTATGGCTTCTCTGATGGGTAACAAAGTCAGAGTTCTGTTGGAAGCTTTTTCCACATTGATTGGGTTTTGTCCTAAGGGTAGGTTTTCAGATGTCCAATGAGATGTACATACTGTCTGAAGCACTGTTGACACTGAAGTTATTTTGTTTTCTGGTATGAATTCTTTTACGAGGAGGGCTGAGCACTGCTAGAAAGCTCTCTCATACACACACAATCAGGGTTCCCTACCTGTATGAATTTTTCTTTGAGTGATCAAGTTTGAACTCAGACTAATGGTTTTCCAAAACTCAGAGCACTTCTGGAATTTCACTGGACTAATGGATAAGGTGTTGTTAGGACAGCTCTGTAGGTAAAGCCTGATACTTCCTACAAGTGCAAGTTCTCTGGTCCCCACTGAAGTCTGAGAGCTGAGGAAAGTCTGAGATTCACCAGAGATCTTCATCTTATTGAGTTCTCTGGCATGTAAATGCATTTTGTGTGTGTATATGTGTATGCATGGTGGTGTAACTTATTTTCTGGTCAAGATATCTGTGACACTTCAGATGCATGTGGTGGACTGAGCTCAAGATCTGTCTCACCCATGTTACAGACATAGGGCTTTTCGCCAATGTGTACTGTCTGATGTTGAAGAAGGGCAGAGCTCTGGTGGAAGCTTTTTTCGCATACACTGTATTTGTAACATAGCTCCTCTGTTTGAGTTCTCATTTTCTGTTGGGAAACAAAGTCCATACCTAGGAGGAAGCCACTCTCACATGTAGACCATTGATGATGTGGTTTCTCTTCCATGTGAATTCTCTGATGTACTATAAGGTCTGAGCTACAGTTAAAACTTTTTTCATATTCAAGGCATTTAAAAGTATGAGTGTGAGTGGCCTGGTGTCTAATTAGGTTGGCACTCCGAGTAAAACTTCTCATACATTCCAAGCATTTATACGGCTTCTCACCTGTGTGGACTCTCTGGTGGACAATGAGGTCTGACTTCTGCCCAAAGCATTTCTCACAGGCACCACACTTATAGGGCTTCTCCCCAGTATGGACTCTTTTATGTACAATGAAGGCTGAACGGTGTCGATAACTTTTCTCACACTTATTACATTTGTAGGGCCTTTCACCAGTGTGAGTTCTCTGGTGGCTAATAAGATCAGATTTCCCACTAAAAGCTTTTTCACACTCCAAACACTTAAATGGTTTCTCACCTGTGTGAGTTCTTCGGTGCCTTATGAGGTTGGTACTGCGACTGAAACACTTATCACACTCACTACACAGATACGGTTTCTCGCCTGTATGGCTTCGCTGGTGAACAAGCAGATCCGAGCTCTGACCAAAATTCTTGCCACAAATATCACATGTATAGAACTTTTTACCTGCATGGGTTCTCTGGTGACCTGAAAGAGCTAAATGGTGCCAAAAGCTCTTCTCACATTTGCTACATTTGTAAGGTTTCTCATAATTGTGGATCCTCTGGTGTGAAGTAAGATCTGAGCTTTGGACGAAGGTTTTCTCACACATATCACATCTATAAGGTTTCTCCCCAGTATGGATTCTTTCACACATAATAAGTGCTAAGTTTTCACAAAATTTTTGTTCACGTTCAAGGCACTGGTATATTTGATGATCTATTTGAGTAATCTCATGTACATGAATAAAAATCTTTTTACCCTTCTGAGGGCATACATGATATAATTTCCTTTTTGGAGTTCTCTGATTATATCTCTCTTCTGAAGTGTACATTTTCTATGGCTCTCTCCTAGGGACTTTTCCACTGGTCCTCTTGACCCATCTTTGCTTTCATAGTCATTTTCTCGATAAGAACCTGGAAGATACATCTGTTTCAAGCCTTTCAGTCATAACTTCACTTTTACCAGTTTCCAGCATCATCCACATTATTTTCTTATTTGGTATCTCCAAATCTGTGAGACAAAGTGAAAACATTAATATTCCTAAAACTAAGAAAAGAGTTCTCAAAATTAAAATCACTGTAGAAAAGACATAAATTTTTAGTGTCCAGAAGTGTTCTATGTTTTGCATGGGCTCGTTACCCAAAAAGCTTGGAAATGGAAGTGTCTTGAATTTCAGAATATCTACATAAACATTAAATGCCTCTCCCATTCAAGTCCTCAGAATTGTCCCAGAGACCAGATGGTGAATAAAAAAATAAACAAAAAACCTAGGGCTAGAAAAAAAGATACCTGAAATACCGTTTTTAACCAATTGACATACATTCAAAGGAATGACTACATACATACACACACACACACACACACACACACAGAAGCAAACATTCACATGTTGCTGCAGGAAATACAAATTGGTACAACCTGTCCAGAGGGGACAAAACTAAGTATACTTTTAACACTTGACTCAGCAATACACTTCCAATAATATACAACACAAATGCACAGTTATTCAACATGTTTATAACTGAAAAAACTTAAAACAACTTAATGTAGTAGTTTAAATAAACCATAGCATATAGTTGAATAACCTTTGCATATCTAATGTAATGGGGTACTAGGTAGCTATAAAAGTATAAAGGGAAATTTCATAAATTGACATAAAGTAATTTCCAGGAAAAAAAATCATAAATTTTAAGGTGTAGCCAGCCTGGGCAGGAAAGTCTCTGAGACTCTTATCTCTACTTAACCACCAAAAGGCCAGAAGTGGAGCTGTGGCTCAAGTAGTAGAGTGCTGGCTTTGAGCAATAAAAGACAGGAACTATTTGTTTCCTGGTCCTTAGTTTAAACCTCAAGTCTGGCATGCACGTGTGCGTGCATACGTGTGCACATACATACATGCACACATACACAAGGGTTTTTTAATGCTATATTTTGTGTAATAAAGTAAAATTAAAGCCATATGAGCATTTATTTAGCCCTTTGGCCAAAAAGAAATTAAGAGACTCAGATCTCAACCTCCTGAGTAACTAGGATTACAGCCATGAACCACTAACTGAGCAGGAAAGTCTGTGAAATTTTTATCCCCAAGTAAATACCAAAAAGTCAGAAATGGTGCTGTGGCTCAAAGTGGTAGAATACTAGCCTTGAGCATAAAAGCTCAGAGACAGAGCCCAGGCCCAAGTTCAAGTGCCAGGCCTGGGGCTAATTATTATTTTTTTTTTTTGGTCCGGTCGTGGGGCTTGAACTCTGGGCCTGGGCACTGTCCCTCAACTCTTCAGCTCAAGGCTAGCGCTCTACCACTTGAGCCACAGCGCCACTTTCGGTTTTTTTCTTTTTGCTTATGTGGTGCTGAGGAATAGAACCCAGGGCCTCGAGCATGCAAGGCAAGCGCTCTACCACTGAGCCACCTTCCCAGCCCCAGGGGGCTAATTATTTTAAATGAAACATGAGCAAGTCTTTGCACAACAGGCAAGTACAGAGGATGGGCTCAGTACATATTCATGGTTTTATGCATGTGACAATAGAATTGAGAAACCTGTTGTGGGGCTGGGAAGATAGCTCAGTGGTAGAGCGCTTGCCATGCATGCCTGAGGCTCTGGGTTCGATTCCTCAGCACCACATAAGCAAAAAGAAAAAAGCTGGAAGCGGCGCTATGGCTCAAGTGGTACAGCGCTAGCCTTGAGCTAAAGAGCTGAGGGACAGCGCCCAGGCCCAAGTTCAGGCCCCACGACTGGACCCAAAACAAAAAACAAAAAAAAAAAAAAAACCTGTTGCTTATTGAGCATCTCATGAGAACAGGCATTGAACTTTGTTTTTTACCCCAACTTGTCACTTATAGTAGTAACTCCATGAAGCATGTAACTTATCTAGTTTTGCAAAGGAAACATTGCAGATGAAGTTAATTTCTCCCCAGTAACACATCAGTATCCAACTCTGTGGTATGAATTTTACATATGCTCATTTTTTCTCCTACTAAAAATATAATATCTATTAGGATTAGGACTCCAATGTCCCTAACATTTGTTGAATGAACAAAAATACAAATATTAAAACAAGAAATTGCCCATAATTATCCTCAGATCTCCAGTAGTTATACATGATGCTAATAAGCCAGTTGCCCTGAACAGGTCCATCTGACAAAACCAAATATAATCGTTTAAGTTTTTGATCAAAGGTACTCTCCACCACAATACTTCTCTTACCCCATTCTAGGAAGAGATTAGTATTCTCTTTTCATGTGTAAGGTCAGTGAGCACCAGAATAAACAGGCAATAAAAATCCACCCTGTTAAAATGAGCCATAGAATTTAAGATGTCACAGTTATCTTTATAGTTAAAGGATGTATAGGACAATCAAAATCAGCATTTTAAGCACTATCTGAAAAACAACTAATAGTAACTATAGATAATAATCACTATTAGGGATTATCATCTCACTTCTTTTTTCATTGATTACAGAGACTATCTTATTTAGTCCTCCTAAGAAGGCTGTAAAATAGAAAGCATGATACTTAGGACAAGTATCAATTTACCTAAAAACTCACAGCTAGTTAGGTAGAGAACTAGGGTTTAAAAATCCATCTGACTCCAGAGCCTGACTCCACACTGGGCATACTGCCTTCTTTGTGTGTCAATCAGCAAGCAACTGCTGCAAGCCTATCTGTGAATTTATACGTGCTCACTGAAAAAGAGTAAACAGTATACTTACTTTGGTAGAATAGGGTCCAGTTTTATTACTGCTGTGTAAGAGCCTAACAAAGAACTGTTCCTGTTTTCCATGTATCTTCTCCCATTCCTTTTGATAGCATCCCTATCCCTAAACCCACAGTTTTGTAAAAATGTACAGCCTAGAATATCACTTACCATAACAAGAAACTGAAGACTGACTCTTTTACTTTGGATGTCAAAAGGTCTCTAGTCCAGAACTATAATAACACTCAATTCTTCCCTCTCCTAGAAGAAAAAAAAAATCAGTAATGTAGAAGACAATTTTGTTGAGTTCGTTTTTTGGGGGTTTTTTTGGGTCCGGTCATGGGGCCTGAACTCTGGACCAGGGCGCTGTCCCTCAGCTCTTCAGCTCAAGGCTAGCACTCTACCACTTGAGCCACAGTGACACTTCTGCCTTTTTTCTTTTTGTTTATGTGGTGCTGAGGAATCAAACCCAGGGCCTCAGGCATGCAAGGCAAGCGCTTTACCACTAAACCACTTTCCCAGTCCTGATTTTGTTTTTTCTACAGCTGACCATTTAAATATTAGTCCCATTTACTCTTTAGTCTTGTCAGCATTCTTTATACCTTACCTCTTTCTACCATTATTTACATGATTTCCCTGGCAAAAAGTTCATTTCTTATCTGCTCTACACAAAACGTCAAGAATCCTTCTAGATGACAAAATGTAACTAACAAAGCCTTAAGCTTTGTTTTGTTTGTGTTAATTTTTCTCCTTCAGCTAATTGCTTTTGTTTGTGTTATCTCAACTTCTGCAGCCAATAATCCATTCCTGGACTACAAACAGTTAGTCCACGTGAATAGTGTATATAATACAAAATTATATTTACTACAGGACCCCCCCCAGGAAAAAATTAGCATGAAACGATTAAACAAATGATTCCGCAAATAGATTATACTGTAACAAAACTAATCTCTTCATTGAAGACTGAGGAAGGCTCCGTTCAATGTCCTCCCCCCCTTCCCAATATATACAAAAGCTCTATTTTACCTAGAAGATTAATATCACCTCTGGGATCCACTGAACTAAAATATCTCCTTTTAACTTCCCACTGAGCATCTTACAGTCAGGTCGTCTATCCCCAGGGCACCGGATCCAGGTCCTTACAGACTCCGAGAACAGAGGCTACTCTCCTCCGGGGGTCTTGGGTGCTGCCACGCATTTCTACCCCGACCCAGACAAGTGTCTAGGCTTTGTAGGCCGCATCCCTCCCAGCCCCAACCGCTGCGCTTACCCGGGCAGCGGCCAGAGCCGCCTAGGGAGGGCACTTCCGGTTACTCTCTGGACTCTCGAATCTGAGCTTTCCGGCGGCCACAGACTCCGCGGCGGTGGACCAAAGGGCCCAGCTTTCGAAAGACAAGGAAAGAGAAGTTTGGAAAGCTGATGTCAACTAGGAGGAGCTCCCTTTGCACGCCTCGGCTAGAGGCAGGCCGCTCAGGGGCGCTTTAAGGGCCTCCAAGGCCAGCGACGCTAGCCCTCACAGGCCAGCTGAGAAACCACCGACGCAACCCCGCCTCCGAAAGTCACGTGACGAACCCCGCTCCAGCGACCTGGGCGGGCCACCCTCAGGTTTGGGGCCAATAGAGTCCGAGATTCCGAAAGGGGGTTGGGCCTAGGGACGCCTGCGCCCCTGGGTCTTGTCTTGTGCGCTGAGGGCTGTAATTGCGCAGGGAAAGATGGAGATGAAGGGAGGTCTTTGCGGCTACCCTGGGAAGCAACGACTCCACAACTCCATGTCCAGATTTTTGGTGGTTAATTGGAAAAAGAGTCTCTCATATTTGTCTACCTGGGCTGGCCTTAAAACCTAAAGGTCTTTGGTAAGTTTTCACTGGAGAAGTCAACGGTACAAATACTGATCTCAGAAGAAAAAAAATGAGAAAGTCTTGAAATGAGTAGGAAAACTAAAACAAAAATGTATTTACAGGGGTTCCCTGGTCAAATAAATACCAGTAAGGACACATTTTCTTACTTTCAAAAAGTCAAATGAGGGCTGGGAAGGTGGCTCAGGGGTAGAGTGCTTGCCTTGTATGCATGAGGCCTCACATTCGATTCCTCAGCACCACATAAACAGAAAAAGCCGCAGAAGTGGCACTGTGGCTCAATTGGTAGAGGGCTAGCCTTGCGCTGAAGAGCTGAGGAACAGCACCCAGGCCCAGAGTTCAGGCCCATGACCGACAAAAAAGAAAAAAGAAAAGGTAAAAAGAAAGTAGTCAAATTAAACAATAAAATTCATGTGTTTAGATTTTTCAACAAATGTATCAAGAAAACTGATGGATTAAAAAGGTATTATAGAAGCAAACAATGAAAATACATTACAACATGATGCTGCACACCTGTAATCTTAGCATCTGGGAGATGGAGGCAGGAGGACTCTAAGTTAAAAGGCAGCTTGGGCTACATTGTGAAACATTTCCCTTTTTCTTTTTGGTATCCTCTATCCTTTCAGTCACCTAGAATGTTTTCATTATCTGTTTTGTTCCTGCCATAGTAAGTTTATCATACTATTATTTTTTAAGTACACATTCAAGTTATACATTCCATATTTCTTTTGATTTATGTCATTTTTGTGTAACAAAATTATTTAAAAAGTGATTAAAATAATGCATGACTATGGAAATGTATTAAATATTTTTTAAAAGGTTTAATAAAAGAACTCCTGCAACTTAATGAATACAATAAAATCAAAAGTATGCTGCGTGGGGAGAATGCAATCATAATACCCAATTATATCCCACAAAACTAGAAAATTGAAAGGGGTTAGGACTAGGGAGAATGATGAAAAGTGTGCTCTGGAACAAGATGAGCATGTTGAATGGTAACCCCTTTCTACAAATACTTAGATCTAATAAAAATATAATTCAAAAGAAATAGTGAGCTCGGTGCTGATGGTTCATGCTTGTAATCTTAAACTACTTAGGAGGCTGAGATCTGAGGATTGTGGTTTAAAGCCAGTCCCAGCAGGAAAGGCCATGAGAATCTTATCTCCAATTAACTAACAGAAAACTGCAAGTGGAGCTGTGGCTCAAAGCAGTAGAGTGCTAGCCTTGAGCACAAAAGCTCAGGGACAGCACCCAGGCCCAGAGTTCAAGCCCCACAACCGACAAAAATAAAATAAATTAATAGTGAGTTGATAGAATAAATTATTTCTCAGAAGTGGCGCTGTGGCTCAAGCGGTAGAGCGCTTGCCTTGAGCTGAAGAGTGCAGGGACAGCGCTCAAGCCCAGAGTTCAAGCCCCACGACCAATCAAAAAAAAAATTATTTCTCATAGTCTAACTGTAAAATCAATTAATAGGTTACTTCCTATTTAATATATAATTGACTTATCAGAAGGTGTTTTTAATATGTACATACATTCTTAGGAATAAAATTCTAACATGTTGTTAAAGCATAGAAGTCCTAGCATATTATCTATAATTTGTATTAATTAGAATAAAATGGCTATCTGTTGGCTGGCTTGCTACATCATTTTGATGGATATATATATTACCACTAATAGAATTCTTTGTCAGATGTCACCAAGGTAACCAAATGGCTTTGTCCTTTGGAGTCTGCTAATCATAGCAATTTCTACCTCACTACTTGGTACTTGGCTTCTAGATCCCAGGGAAACACATGCAGTTTTATACTTTCCCAATTAAGTAGTTATTTAACTAGGCTCCCTGGGTCTTCAGCTTTGTCACACTCATTAAAAGTTTTCAGCTCCCACAAGGTACTTCATTTAATGAACCACTGAACACTGTTCTTACCAAGAGTGTCATTCTTTACTGACCCATGTTTCTAGCAGTCATCCATCTGAGATGATCACCTTTTCGATGTTAGAACAATAGGACAACTTGGCTTCTGGAAAGTTTGAAACATACATATAACCAATCTCATTATGAAAGATACAATCAGAGATGACAGTACTTAACCTATAATGGGCTAGTACAATTTACAAGTTCAGACAAATATTTAAGAAATCACTTTTCCCTTTAGTATATTCAAATAGTTGTACAAAGGGTTTCAATTTAACATCCATTTACATATACAATGCATCTAGTCACCTAGCCCATCATTCCTCCTCCCTTTTCTGTGTTAATTTTTTTCTCAATATTATGTTCTTTCAAACTTTTAATTTTCCTTTTATTTACCCTATTGCCTGAGTTCTCTTCCTCTTTGCCTTTTCTTCCGCGATTACTTTCCTACTAAAGTTTTTCCCTTCTACAGCTGTTTTTTCCGTCTTTTACTTCCTCTCTCCCATACTTGCTTGACTTTTAATTCCCATGCTTGTATCTCCATCACACTTCTACTCTGTTGCCTGTTTCACAAACTTTCATTAACAGCTAAACTAAAAAGCTGATACTGTCACCCTTTAGCTACTTTGAAGCAAAAATTATGTTAAAAGAACAGTCTCTCAAATCACAGTGGCAGGAATTTTCACACATAAATCCAGATGAGAAAAACAGAAGACAAAAAAAAAGTGCAAAAGCATTGTTATAAGCACATATCAGGATAATATAACAAATGGGAAAGTTGAACCTCACCTAACAAAGCAATAAATTCAAGAATCAAAGTAATGAACACCAGTTTCTAAACTGCTTAGAGACAAACAGCAGCAGATTAACTCTTGAAGTGGAGGGAGTAAGGATGAAGGAGGTGGTGCTAAAAACCAGAATTCTATCTTCAAACCCTTCCCATTCCTTCCGTGTGCCTTCTGCTATCCTGGCAGAAAGCTGAAAGCTTATTATGGGCAGAGAAAAGCAAAAGATTTGTAGAGTGGGAGACACACTAGAGGTATTAAGTAGAACACAGAAAGAATTCAGTTTATCCATTGTGCATAGTAGGCACAGAAGATTCCCAAGCTTATAGCCTACAATCTTTTTGTTGTTGTTGTTGGTCGTGGGAGTTGAACTCTGGGTCTGGGCGCTGTCCCTCAGCTCTTCAACTCATGGTGAGTGCTCTACCACTTGAACCACAGCACCACTTCTGGTTTTCTGGTGGTTTACTGGAGATAAGTCTCACACATCCTTTTCTGCCCAGGCTGGCTTTGAACCACAATTCTCAGATCTCAGCCTCCTGAGTAGCTAAGATTACAGTCATGAGCCACCAGTGCCCAGCTAGTCTATAATCATTTTATAGCTCATTAAAAAATTTTAATTCCAATAAATGCAAGAAAAAATACTAAACATGTAAATATTAAAAACATTTTAATAACCAATATATAATGAATCCAGCCTGAACTGGATTACCAGAATTAACTGGTTAATAACTGGTTACAAGAATTAACATTGTCAAAAACTTACAAAAATCCTATAACTATGGGTGCCAGGACCACAGTAAACAGGGATGTTGGGGCTGGGAAGGTGGCTCAGTGGTAGAGTGCTTGCCTTGCATTCATGAGGCCCTGGGTTCGATTCCTCAGCACCACATAAGCAGAAAAAAAAAAGCCGGAAGTGGCGCTGTGGCTCAAGTGGTAGAGCGCTAGCCTTGAGCTGAAGAGCTGAGGGACAGCGCCTAGGCCCAGAGTTCAGGCCCCACGACTGGACCCAAAAAAAAAAGAAAGAAGAAAGTAAACAGGGATGTTACATGTTCATGTGTCTACATTTTGGAGGAACTTTTTTTTGCCAGCCCTGGAACTTGAACTGTGGTAATGGGTGCTATCCCTGGGCTTCTTTTGCTCAAGGCAAGTGCTCTACCATGAGCCACAGCACCACTTCCAGCTCTTCTGAGTAGTTCATTGGAGTTAACAGTCCCAAAGTTTCCTGCCTGGGATAACTTCAAACTGCAATCTCAGCTCTCAGCTTCCTGAGTAGCTATGATTACAGGCATGAACTGGCTTGGAGGAAATTTTTTTGATTAACATGGAAAAAGATTCTTAGCCAGATCACCCTAGGTTAAAATTCTGTTGCCATCCTTAAAATGTACTTGGTTTTTCCAAACACCTGGAGAATCAGGATGTAATGGTTAAAAGTATACGTTATTATCCGGGTGTTTGTCGCTCATGCTTGTGATCCTAGTACTCAAGACGCCGAGATCTAAGAATATTGGTTTGAAGCCAGCCTGTGTAGTGAAGTCCATGCAACTCTTATCTCCAATTAACCACCAGAAAACTGTTAGTGGAGCTGTAGCTCAAAGTGCTGGAGTGCTAGTCTTGAGCAGAAAATCTCAGGGACAGTGCCCAGGCCCTGAGTTAAAGCCCCACAACTGACATAAAGGAAAAAAAAAGTCCCATATAGGATCATTAAAAAAAAAAAAAATCCCACTAAATTTTATGCTTGTTTTGGAGGGGAAAACATGGAGTATGTACATTTGGTCAGATTGAACCCATAAATTTTTTAAAAAACAAAAGTTTGCTTTCAGAACTATTCTGATTTTTGTTAGAAATCACATATTACAGTTTTGATTCTGCAGACTCAACAGAAAACAGGTAATATGCTCAAATTAGGATTCATAGAGGAAAAAGAATCAAAGTAAAACTCAAAGATTTATAATCATAGTCTACCACTTCCACTCTGGATAATTTAATCTACATGAGATTTCTTAGTTTATAATGACACCCAAGTTTTTAGCTCCTTTTATTAAAAATATTTATTATAAAAGTGAGGTACAGAGGGCTAAGTTACATAAGTGAGGTAAAGAGTACATTTCTTTTTGGACAATGTCACCCTTTCATTCCTTTTAATAGCTTACCCTGGCCCAGTGAAGCCATCAGGCCTGCTTTAGAGCTTGCTTGTGAACCCCTTATCTAAGCCACAAGTGTCCCTCAGAACACTATTCCCAACTCCCTTCCTAGGCTTTGCTCACTTTTACACACTTTATTTGACGCACTTTATACAAAAAGTACTGTTCAACTGTTGGGGCACATATGGATCTTTAAGACTTCTACTGTCGTTTTCTCAGCTCAGTTTCCAGGAATGAACTAGGAAAATTTCAAATCTAACCCATCTCTGAAGGCTAATCACAAACCAAAAACATACTGAAAGCATTCCACTCCTACCATGGGCCCCTACTCTATCCCTTACATGTTTCTATCCCATTGTCACTGTTTCCTCACAGAGTGGCTTAATATATGTTGAATTACATGATTGATAAACTGAGCTAAGAAATTGGGTGGAAAAAAAAATCTGGATTAGAATGATGGACTAAATTAGATCTCCAAGACAAGAAGATAGAATGAGGGATCAGAAATGTGGCTTAGTGGTGAGAGTGCTTCCTAGCATGATGAAGCCCTGGGTTTGATTCCTCAGTACCACATAAACAGAAAAGGCCAGAAGCGATGCTGTGGCTCAAGTGGAAGAGCGCTAGCCTTGAACACAGAGAGGCTCAGGAACAGTGCCCAGGCCCTGAGTTCAAGCCCCAGAACTAGGGGGAGGGGGGGGAGGGAATGAATGTAAGTGACGGGAACAAGATCAAAGTTGAAACATTCAATGACTCTCACCCCTAAAGCTAAAAAAGCATCTATAAAGATATTTTAATTTTTTTCTTCTATAAATACATCTTGGAAAAAGGTTCCCCAACCCAATAACTACAATACCTGAAAACCTTTTCTAAATACAATAGACGTTGCTGCTACCCTTACCTGTAGTCAATATACAGACTAATGTTAGTCACTTTAGTTGAAAACAAAGGCCATTTGGGAGGCCAGAAGTGACCCCAGTGAAAAGGGGGCAAAGAACCACAAGTCAAACAAAGTGAAACAGGCATTTACTATAGTTATAACCATGTTAGTATGACATAAGTTATTTCATCCTGGCACTTAAGAGTGTTGGGGCAGCAAAGAGGCTTAACAAAAGCTCCATGTCTGAGACTTCACCAGCAACTACTGGACTGAGAAAAACAGAAAATGTGAGCATGGGCAGTCATTCATCATTCTAGCATGAGGTAGACAAGAAGCAGGGCTGTGCTAGGTGAAGACCACTCTGTCTCTCAGAAGTCCCTGGCTTGCTAGGATTCCTCCACATTCTCTGAAGATGAGGGGGCTCCAAAAATCCTGGCAAGGAGACCTCGGTTAGAACGGGCCTGGTCCTCGGCATTAGCCAGTCGAGCCCTTTCCCGTCCTCCTGGGCGTGCTTTCTTGGCCCTCAGCTCCTGTTCTGTGGGACGCTGGGCAAATGCCCAGGAGCTATCAGGCCGAGCTGTATCACCATCAGCAGCAAGGAAGCGTTTTCCTCTTTCCACACTTTGAAGATAGAAGTCAGTCTCACGCTTGGCCTGAGCCACCTCTGCTCTTAGACGTTGCCGGCGCACCTGGCGCTCAAAGGCAAGGTGTTCACTGAGATGGGACCATGTGAAACGGTGCAAATACTGTGGGCAAGAAAATTTAAGGAAAAAATGTTCACATATTTTCCCATTTCCCTCTGATTCTGTATCATCCTCCTAGCTTCCCTCAGATATGCACATATATATATGTATATATATGCATATATATGGACATATATATATATCATATATGTGGTCAAGAACATGGAGTCATTTAGAAATGAAACGATAAAGTGAGTGGAGGTCCTTTGTTTCTCCAGTCCTGTTTGTCATATCAACAGAGGGGACTAGCAGCTGCACTGGACATTGATGAAAATGAACTAAGAAATTCAAGGGCAGCAATGGGAGGGAGGGAATGAGAGGGAAAAGGAATAGCTTACACTAAGCAAAAGGAAAGAAATGTACATATCATCTGATGTGGAAGAAATAGTTATATTGTGAAAGCTCATAGAATTCACACACATTATAGACCATGATTATGATAACTTCCTAATATCACTATCTCACAATACTGTGAAATTTAATCTCAATAAAAAAAACTATTTAAAAAAAATAAGTAAAGCTCCTGCCAGGCGCTGGTGGCTCACACCTGTAATCCTAGCTACTCAGGAGGCTGAGATCTGAGGTTAAATCCGTGAGACTCATCTCCAATTAACCAACAGAAAACCGGAAGTGGTGCTGTGGCTCAAGTGATAGAGCGTTCACCTTGGGCTGAAAAGCTGAGGGGCAGTGCCCACGCTCAGAGTTCAACCCCACGACCGACCAAAAAAAAAAAAAAAAAAAAGCTCTTGTAGAATTCAACTGTTGAAAAAAAAAAAGTTCTAAATAGTGCAGATCAAGAAGGGAGAATGAGCCAACAAGAGATCACAGGATCAGGATCTCTTGGGGAAGAGGGGAGATTAGAAGTATAGCATTAAGACCTATAGTCTCACCTTAAGATTCCAAAGATCATAACGGAAGGGGCTGCGCTTGCGGGCACCCATAGGCGTGTTGTGTAGACTGGCTGCCACCCGCTTGGCTATGCGTTTGTCTCGGAATTCCACCCAGCCCTCAGTATAGTCTTTGCTGTACTTGGATCCCTTTTTTCCTCCCGAAGCTGCTGCCGCCTTCTTCTTGCGTCTCACAAACTGATCTGGGGGATCAAAGACAAACAGTGGTCTAGAAGTCCCAGGCAACACCTGCTCCCACGCATGTCCCACTGGCCATGATGTTTTCCAAACCTGACAGCGGAGGTCCCAATTTTCCAATTCGATGGAAAGGAATAATCTGTGAGGTCTCATTCAACCCTCTCTTCAAATAATATCCCTTCATCAGGCCTCTAAATGGACCCGAATCAGCACCTAACCCCAATTCCGTATATGGTCTGCAAATGGGGGCTGGGAGAGGGCAATCACACGCTCTCTTTTGACAGAGATGTACGTGTTCAGCTTGGTAGAAATGCCAGAGGCTTATTCCAGTTGTACTCATTTAACAAATTGTTAAAAAAAAAAAAACTGTTCCGGAGAGGTGTGAGGAGCCAGAATTAGAACCCAAGCGTTAACAATCCAAGAATTAAGGCCCCACAAGGCACACCTGCGACCCGCCCGCCCCTTTTCCCTCCGCCCCACGCCTTCTCCTCCTAGGCTGCACACTACCGGTTTACCTGCCAGAAAGAGGGAACCAGCCCCTCAACGCGGCGTCGCAGACGGGGCAGCGAAGGTGTGCACCCCCTGGCCTTGGGTGCCACCCACCCGCCGCCCTTCCCCATCTGGGACTGTGAGCTTACCTTCAGCCTGGAAAAAAACGCGTCCGACCTCACCGTAGGCGCTGAGAAGGTTGCGGACGTGCAAGGGCCGGAATCGCGGCGGGATGTGGCCCAAGTACACAATCCCTGGAACGATCCGCTTCTTGCTGCCGCGAGCCGCTTCGTCGGGTTCACCCTGCTCCTCCTCCAACTCTGGCTTCTGGTCTGTCCCTTCCAGAAGGTCCGGCTCGGTGGGGGACAGCGACTCCTCTCCCTCCATGTTGGCCGGTACGAGTAACACGACACCCGTAAAGCAGTCGGTGCCGACTGACGCGCGTCTGTGCGACGGCCTTTGGGGGCGGAACCGAGGGAAAATTACCCAATGAAATAAAACGATACTGCTGCCTGCGGCGAGGGGCGGGGCCTAGGAGGTAATTACCCAGTGAAATAAAATGATACTCCCGGGTCCCGGAAAAGGCAAGAAGGTTGGTAGCCAAAGGGGGGGGAGTCTCCCGGCGGTGAGGAAGTTCAGAGTGCTGGGGACAGTGTGAGAAGTTCTCCAGAGGCAAACCCATATAGTTCTCGAGTTGGTGTAGCGGAGGTGGAAATAGACACTGGGATGTTACCAGAGGCGGAATGCCTTGCGACGTAAAAAGGGCGCCGCCTTGTGACGTAATAAGGGCGCCACAGGGTCTTCCAGGAACTCTAGAACTTCACTTTGGAGTGTCTGTTCTAACGGCCGGGGGTCCTGGTACGAGTGCGAATGTGGCTGACTCACGCCTCGACGTTCATAAGTTTCAACTTACAAATTTAAGTGTTGATGTTGTACTTGGTTTTTTTTTTCCAAGTTCGAGGTGTGAGGATCGTGGTTCCAAGCCATCCCTTGGCTGTGAGGCCTGGAATTAACCACCGAAAGTACTGGACGTGAAGTTATATTATGGCTCAACGAAGTCCCAGAGTTCAAGCCCCAGGACCCGAACCAGAGAGAGACAGAGATTTAATGTAGTTTGTCTTTTACAATTGTAGTTCCCTTTGGGGAATTTAATTGAATTTGTTTTGTTTTTAACTTAAAATGTAGAGAGAGAGGAGAGAGGTTTAGTGTGGTTAGTCTTTGCAATTGTAGTTGGTGATTTTACCTTTTGGGAAATTAAGCTTTTGCTTTTAACTTAAGGTTTTTAATTTGACCCTGTGGCCTTTTTTAATGTAGCCTGAGTGATCTAAAGAACTAGTTTGGCTCCTGTTACGCTTATGGGTTGCTATAGTGTCCACATAAATACATATATATTGAAAATACTCGAGCTTTCCTCCCACAGCGGTTTCGCTTTCCTCTTTTCACGAGGTCTGACTACTTTATCCGACAAGACTGGACTGTAAATCCTTTTTCCCGCCCCGCCCTACGCAGCCGCGGTCCTCACCAGGCTTCAAGGGCTGCGATCTTCCCGGGGAAGGATAGGAGGGCGTACCGGCACACACATAACCCCCCCACACACCCTACCCTTCTACAAAGGTTGGGGTTCCTCCCCTTTTGGAAGCTCTGGGTCTTTCTACGGGCCCCAACTGCTTGGCCGATGCAGAGACAGACAGCATCGGGAACTATGTATTTAAAACATATAGTCTACTTTCGCGTGCTGGCCTAGGATATTTAAGAACCATCGAAGCACACCGCCTCTTGCTGGGGCTTAACTTTCCTCCCAGCTCCAGCCAAGTAGCCCAGAGTACAAAACCGTGTTCAAAGTTAAGAGATGAAAATATTAGCAGGACGGACCCTGAGCGCATTTCTGAAGCACCAGGGGCCCAGCGCTCTTTCTAAAGGTTCTCAGATGCCGGTTTCATTCATTTTACTGAGAACTTTACAGCAGTTGCCCTGGATTCCTTTCATGACGGTACGTTTTTAAATTCTTAACACTGAACGTCTTCAAACAATATCCATGAGTAAAACGGCACATCTTGGGGTTACTTCAAAAGATCGGAAACTTAAGGGGTGGGAGATGGGGGAAGGGGTGGAGACACATAGAGACAGATAGTGCGAGAGTGTGTCCTGTGTGTCGATGTGATGCTAAATGGTAGCCTTCAATAATGGTTTTCTTAAACATTTGTGTATGTTTGAGATTATTAGTAATAACATGTTTATTAACGTTAAATAGTAATGTGACTGAAGGTCCTAAAGGACCATCCAATCTCCAAAAGCAAGTGAAAAGAGTATCTTGATGTCAAGATGTCTTTCATTCCCAATCCTGCTGTTGTTTCTCTACCCGGAAAACCTACCTGGTTTTCGAGACTACTTCCTTAACAGTAGTGGGCAGGGGATTCTTGATTTTAGTCTGTAAATTTAGCTGAAGGCCATTCAAAATATTCGTTCCTTCGAGCCGGATTCGAACCAGCGACCTAAGGATGACCATTAACCAGGAAATTCTACAGTCCTCCGCTCTACCAACTGAGCTATCGAAGGATTCACAATGGACCGTTTTTAAAACAGACTAAAGCAGTTTAAACAGGTGTTGATGGTTTGATTGGTGCCTGTAATTTAGTTTCTTTTGCTAGATAAACTTCAAAAGTCCTTTAGGATGTTAGAAATGTTTAAAAACTGATCGGACTAGTAATTGTACAATCATATAAAAAAACTTTCCCCATGTAATTGTAACCCCTCTGTACAGTATCTTCATAGTAAAAAATAAATAAAATAAAAACTTTCTTTGAACAGTTAAGATGTGTGCTTTTTAGTGTGTTTCACATAGGTCTTTAATATGTTCCCTGTTTGTATAGTATAAATAGAACTATCTCCGGTATTGTACTTGTCCTCCCGACTTGCCTCCTGGGCAAAAGTGAGGCCTCAGCCCTCCATGCTTGCCCCGGAAGCTCCGGTGCTCCCGCTCCTTCGCCCTCACTGTGGAGCCCACAGAGAGGATCCCCGTAGTGCCCCCCACCCTTCTTTTCGAATTCATGCCTACATCGTTCATATCTATTGCCGTTGCTGGAGTGTGGTTGAGGCTCCTATAGAATTTTTCACTCCGTTGTAATCACGAAACTACTAAAATATTCAAATATCTACATTATAAAAATACCGTTGTGGGTTTTTTCGTTGTTGTTTTTTTTTCTTTTTAGTTTTGAGACAGGGTCTGGTTATGTAGCTGTGAACTCATAATCCTCCAGCCCCAGTCTCCACAGGCAGGACTGGGACTGGGATTACACATGTACACCAACGTTTTCAATTTTTGCTCCCCACTCCTAGTAAGGAGGAGGGACAGGACTGAAAAAATGGATTTCATCCCCCTTTTCATCGTTAACCCTGACCTTTTCTAAACAATGCAACAAGGGGCGGAGAATAAATCTTGAATAGGATTGGGGAAAGATGGGGGTCACGTGACGTCAGTGGGCTGAACTGAGGTTAGCGCCGCGGGGGACTCGCCCAACTTTCTTTTGGTTATTTTTGAAATGGTCTTTAATAAAATGTATTCAAAAGACACCATGATTACAAAGGATCCCAAAGGCTGTGCTGTCTCATATCTTAATCTTGAGTAAAGAAAAAAAGAAGTGAGACTCTTGCCGGCCGGACGCCTTTCGTATTTCTGAACTTTTCAGGCTCCTCTCTGAACTCGTCCACCAGGCTTTGGCTCTCGGTTGCTTGATCCGTTGTTAACTCAGTTGGAGGAAGGAGAAGGAAAGAAAAAAAACAAAACAAAACAAAAAAAAAAACTACATCTGGTTAGCACTGCAGAGGGAAGGGGGGGGGGGGGGGGGGGCTATAGGGGGGGATGGTTTAAGGAGGGAGGGTGCTGTGAGAAATGAAAGAAGTTAACACCTCCTTCGAAAACACCTTTTTCAAAACAAACTACCCTTTCCGTATTTCTGGTTTATTCTGGACATAGACATAAATTTAAAAGGCCAGTTTATGTTTGAAAATATCTGAGTGACAATTTACTTCTTAACTCATTCTAGTTTTATTTTAAACAGTTTTGGTCTACGGGTTTTTATAAAAAAGAGTCTGTGTCCTTCGAGCCGGATTCGAACCAGCGACCTAAGGATAGCCATCACAATCCTACTACAGTCCTCCGCTCTACCAACTGAGCTATCGAAGGGCACACATCAATCCCTCCTCTGTAATGTCCTAAAATAAAGTCTATCTGGTGACTGTTGCTTGATTATATACAAAGTATAGGTAGTTTAACACTTTTAAATAAGTGTTCTCTATAAATATGCTGATAGTTTATTTCACAGGTTTACATAGGTAAAACCCATTTTGGTTTTGTAAAGTTCTTCATTTTAGACATCAAGATATCTAATGTACATCTTAAAAATCCTAATAAGATTCTCCTCCTCCTCCTCCTCCTCCTCCTCTCATATTTTCTAGAATGAATCTCTCAGGTGACACCAAGGTCCTGCTGTGCTGATTACTTCTCATTTGTCCCTCAGAAGTACCTGAGTTTGATAAGTGATGTGTTTGTCCTAAATTCAGACAACTAAGGTGAAGAGGATCCCAGAACTGTGAACAAATATTGGCAGGTGTGTTTTGGTACCTCTCTCTCTTTCCGCAATTCAAATGGAAAACAATTATTAACAATTAATAAAACTTGAATGTGAATTGTAAAATGCTCCAGTTTTTCACATACTTCTGGACATCCAAGAGGTTGGAGAATTTAATACTTAAGCAATGTTAAGGAAAATCAGAACTCCCAACTCATGGCTACAAGACTCAAACTAGCCAGTTTAGTCAGTGAGACCAAGCTATGGGATTGGGCTAATATTCTTTCACTAAACCTCTGATAGATTCTAGAAAAAGAGTAAACAGAGCCTACACCAGGTAAAATTCATTGAAGGACAAGTAAGGAGAAATTTTAGTTGGTTAACAACTTTTGGTAAGTATTAAAAAATAAGATTTTCCAACATTTTATAATTTATAATTTCTTCACTACAGTAACAATGTATCTCTGCCTATGAAAACTACTAAATTGGTGGGAGAGGAGTGGGGAAGGTGGGAAGGGAAGGGATAGTGTGAGAAAAAGAAGGGAGATACAAAGCTCAACAAGAAATGTACTCATTACCTTACTCATGTAAGTGTATCCACTCTGTATGGCATCTTTACAATAAAATAAAAATTTATACGTTAAAAAAAAAACAGAAATGGTGCTGTGGCTCAAGTGGTAGAGCACTAGCCATGAATACAAAGAGGCTCAGAGACAGCACCCAGACCCTCAGTTCAGGCCTTACAACAGAAAAAACATAATATTTGAACAATTTTTTAAAACTACTAAATTAAAGGAAATATTCTCTATATTCAGCACAAGACAAAGACATC